TTTACTATAAGCCCTAAACCCTCAACCCTAAACCCTAAAACCCTAAGCCCTAAACCCTAAACCCTAAACCCTAAAACCCTAAACCCTAAAACCCTAAACCCTAAACCCTAAACCCTAAGCCCTAAATGGGTTCCTTGGTGTCCCCGAGGCGCGGCACCGCCCCAAAGGCCGCTGCAAAAGGCGCAGGCCAGCTGGGAGCGGCCGATGGGGACGTTTAGGGTTCCGAATATTATAGGTAGTATCATTAGGGGTACCCCTTAAAGGGTACCCCTTCTGAACCCTACTTTTGGCTCTCTTAAAAGGGACCTTATTGAGAGGGTCTATATCCCCAAGGGTCCCCCTAATCCTAGCTCCCATATTAGGGTTTATAGGGTTTAGGGTGGGGTACCCGGCAGTCGCAATAGGCCTGGATGCAAAAGGGCTGTGTGAAATCATGCAGTGATGCTTCCCAGCTGATCAACAGAGTCTGGGTTCAAAGAAGGGTTTAGGGTAGACGGGGTGAGGGTTGCATAGGCGCTGGCCGGCACCTCAGTCCGTGCTGAAAAGGGTTTAGGGTTTATAGGGAAGAGGGGTAAGCAAGGAAGGCTTCGCAAAGTTTTGGGATTTGCAGAGTGAGCCAGCATGAGTTGCCCTTTTGGTTGTTTGGTCCGCAAGGCCCACAGGGCCGCGGCCGGGGTGCTGCGCCGAAGGCAGCCGAGGGCCCGGCATCCGTCTGGTTTAGGAATTTACACTATCTTGAGGTCTACTCTTGCATGCAAGGCTAGAAGTCAAGGTGCGAGTGTGGGATGTGTAGGCCTGTCGTGGCAGAGATTCTGATCATCATGATGTTCATGGAGTCACAGAGCACAGGTTGTCAGGGTCAGGCACGGCCACGCTGTCTTGGTGCAAGGCTTGTGCTCTTCTAGAGCTTTTAGCTTTTCGGCGTTGCAGGCTTGTGGTTGGCTTGTCTGTGCCCAGTTCTCATGCAGCTTCCGCAGAGAAGGCCTGGCTCAAGACACGAGTTGCACCCTTTTGGGCCATCTCGTCGCCAGGTTCAATAGGTATGGTGAAAGGCAAATCCAAAAGCAGCGATGTGCTTGATGGACCGCTGGCCGCGGATGGGCTGCATTGGAAGAACACAAGTCTCAAGGTTCTACCACCCAAGAAATACCACAGCAGCCGTAATGAAATACCACAGCAGCCGTAATGTTGGCAGGAGGGGCCGGCTCTCAGGATATAGTTGGCACGCTAGGCTTCGACCCGATCTTGCATTTCATGAGAGATGCTGCCAAGCTCAGTTCCTTCCCAAGTTGTCCGTCATCTTGTCAGTCTGTCTGAGAGTGGGTGTGGAGTGGAAGTGGAGACATGGACATCTTACAGAAATTTTGAGGCATTGGTCTGAGGGGGCCAGTGCACCTGCCTGAGCCGATGTACGCAACTGTGCACTCAAGCGTGGTGGGGAAGCGTAGCATTCGTGAGAACCGGAGTTTCAGCAAACTAGGGATGCCAACAATGACAATGGTTCAACGGTGGGACCAGATTGGAAGCGATCCCCAAAATTGTCGATGCAAAGGAGAAGCCGTACAAGAGTGGCATCGTCCAGGCTGCTGCATGGTGAATGGGACATGGAGGGAATACCAACTTTTTCCGTCTGATGGATGAGAAACTTCCGTGGCATAATTTAATTTTCCCTAAGATATTCTTTCCTCATATTCTCTTTGTAGTGCAGCTGTTTCGCCGGCTCTGTTGCTTCATACTTTTTAGTGCCCGAATGTCCTTGAGGATTTGATAGTCTATGTTCTCAGGACGTGCTGCGCAGGTTTCCAAGTCCGTTTGTGATGCGGAAAGAAGTGATAGTAGTAGTAGTAGTAGTAGTAGTGGTGGTGGTGGTAGTAGTAGTAGTACCTATCATAGCCATCAGCTTCACTTGTCGGTTTTGCATCAAAGCGCTCTCCGTTGACCTTGGGAAGGTCTTGCGGAACACCCCGGTTCAGGTCGGCGACTTTGACTCCAAGGACCGGGCGGAACTGGGTTTAGGGTTGAGGGTCCATCTTCAGCTCGGAATCAAGCTTGGGTTCGTCTTGTGTAGCATTGAATCCGTCCGACGGCACAGAGAAGATCAGCATCGCCCCTGCGAAGTATAGCAGGCACAAATCGACCCCCGAAGGTCAAGGTAGGTGAAATCATTCGCTGGATCCAGGGCGATGTAAGCGGTCGAGGGCTAAGCCCTGAACTGCCCAAAGCACGTTCACATGAGAAGCAGTCGAAATCCCCACCTGGTTGCGCCTCACAGGCCATTCTTCTGCTTGATGCTGCTCGGGTCGGCATTGGAAGTCTTTGCTGGCAGAATTCTTTTTGTCCCGAGCTGTACAACAAGGCATAGTTTAGTAAACCCCAAGTGTAGAGCCAGGCCAAATGTGCACATGTCAGACCTGGCTCTCACTACTATGGTTTTCCAAACGGACATGATTCCTCTCCCTGCAGTTCCTGGTGTTCACTGCAACAACTACTAGCAGCATTAAGTGCTAGTAATATTAGTAGTACTGGGGGTGCTGCTGCTGCTACCACTGCCAGCTCCGACTACGACGACAACAACTACTAAGTACTACCACCACCACCACTGCCACTCTTCTTCGCTGCTCTTACTGTTTGCGCTTTCGCTCCTGCTGCTGTGACAGATGCTCCACTACGCACGCTGCGTCGAAAATGGTTCGTCGGGATGACTTGAACGTCGATCACTGGTGCCGATGTTGGCTATGATGCTGGCAGCAATGTTGATGATACGTCATGTTGATCGCGATGGCGAGAACAGCAGAAGCCAGAAGAGCAATACTGTGATGCCTTCCCAGGTGCCACAAACACATCATGATGTTGACTCTGGAAATCGATGGGGGCAACTGGAAACCCCGAGAGCGAGGGTCTAGTGCCGAGGTGCTGCAAGAGAAGGGCAGGGCCGCCGAGGCCGGAGGGGCTGTGGCCTTAATAATTAGAATAGGGTTTTGGGGCCCATTATACTATAATTATAATAAGGAACCCCCCCAACTTAGTATTGGTAATTATTAAGGGCCTCCATGGATCCGGATTTTCTGGAACTGAAGTTTGGGCACGGACATCGGCCCGGAATGCAGGGCCTCAAGCTAAGAGCTTGGAGTGGAACTTCGGAGTGAACCATGGCTTGGCCTTCGCTCTGACAGCATGGCACCCAAGGGCGCTTAAAATCTGCCTTCGGCCCCTCGCAGGCGTGTCAGGTGCTGCAAAACACTCTTCAAGGACTGGCTGGAGGGGATGGGTTTGGGTCGAGGTGCAAGGGTTTGGAGTTCAGGTGCACGGTCTAGCGTCAATGGTTTCCTAGTCTTTCGGACCTTGTTCGAGCCATTGTTGATCTTTCTGATGGTGTTCAGCGGGTTTAGTTAAGGGCTTTTGACTTCTCCCGTCGCTGGCTCTAGGGGATCTCAGAAGCCTACTTGTGGGTTGCTTCGAGCATAGGCCCCTAGCTCATTGCTTGACTCTGAAATTTTTACCCTAAACTCCCTTGTTGCGCTCACCGAGGGGAAGTGGGTGGGTGCAGGAGTGCAGCGAAAGAAAGTCACGAACTGGCGCGCTTATGTGTACACCCTGCTCCGAGGCATCCTGGTCTTCGTTTTAGCCGGGGTATGGCTGAGCCGTGTAGCGCAGCCTGGGGGACTCACAAAAATATCGGGATTCGGATTTGGAGCTCATTTTAGTCTACAGATCCGCTGGAGATTAGAGGCGCTCGGTTTTCTTGAGAGGAGTCTTGGCTTCAAGTTAAGGAACACTGGGAGCTCAGCCGAGCTCGGAGTTCCGAAGCTTGTTCCCAAGCTGCCAAGGCATCGACGAGGATGCCTACAATGCAATGAAAGAATCCAAGGACTCCGCCACGAGAGGTAGATCTGGGTTTCAAAGATTGGGAATGTTCGTGGCATAAAATAATGAAGGCTCCTTGGCATAGCGGTTCTGGAAAGACTGCTCCTAGTTGGCAGTGATCAATGTCAAGATCTCCTTCCATTGTGTTGGGACAGTGTCTATATCTAGTCTAGAGTGTTACCGTGGAGCAGCAATCCAGCATCAACAATTTGAATGGCGGTTTGTGGGGGTGGCCCACGAAGACCCCGAAGGTCAGTGATTCAAGAAAGCTCTGCAAAATCCGATTCGCATCAGTGGGGCACTTTCGGGGTCTGAGTTGTGGGAGCAGGAAACAGAGAGAAGGGCCTTCGAACTAAGCCGCGTATCGGCGAACTGGAGCCCCTGAAAAGGAGAATAACGGCCGCAAGAAACGGCGTCCTTCGGTGCAGGCCGGTTTGCAGGTGACCTTTTCCTTGGGTACCTGTGAGGATAATTGGAGAAGTATTGCGGGTTTAGGTTTGGGTTCAGGATGGGAGGGTTTGGAAGTCAACGGGGGCGTTAAGCTCGAAGAACTGAAAGTTGGACCCTTCGGAGAACTCAATCACTCCGGCTGCTCCATTTGCGGTGTGTGGCGGCATCCTTGATGGCTGTCGGTGTTGCGAAGCCTCCCCCCCCTTCTGGTCATTTGGGTCCTGCTTGAAGCTTCAGTGGTACTTACAGTGATTTTTTGGGTTCTGGAGTTTCAAGCCCAAGGGTTCAGGGGTTGTAAGTTTAAGTAGTTGCAGTTCTTGAGCCGGCTATTTAGCCAGCTCCAGTGCTTTTGTCTCCATCAGCTATCACTGTCACTGCTGATCGTGTGCTTGTCAGGGGCATCCCCGTCTGCTGACTCAAGGGCCTCGCCCGAAACTCCAACCTTTGTGTATCGTAGAAAATGTGAATGATTACATGACTTTAATATATGTTTAATACATCATAAGGGTATGATGGATGGGTTGAGACGTGCACGTTGCATTCTGTTTCTTTATCTTTGCGCGACATGATGGAGCCTTTCCGTTCCTTGACTCGCAGCATGCTTGGAACAGAGAGCCTCACTCGGCTGGTTCTAAACCCCAGAGTGAAGGCATTGTCATGAGTCATGAGCGGGGAACCGCTTCAACCTGAACATCAAAAGGCACCAACCCTCCTGAATTCAACACACTTACTTAAGCGACCATCCAGTCTGCTCCTCTGCCGGAGGAGGCCCAGACGCCCAGCGCCGGTAAGAAGGATCCAGGGAGTCGAGTCTAGGGTAAGGGTGGGGGGGGGGGGGCCCAGGGTCTACCCTAAACCCTAAACCCTAAACCCTAAACCCGAAACCCGAAACCCTAAACCCGAAACCCTAAACCGAGGGGTCCTTCCAGAAATCCTTTTCTGGGGTATCGGTTGACAGCGGAGGCTTGAGGCTCAGGGTTCCAAGGCTTGAGGCACTGTCGGCAGGGTTCAGAGTTTGAGTCTTTGCGAAATCTGATCTCTCATGTAACTATCTCTATCTCTATCTCAATCTCTATCTCTCTATCTCTCTTTACATATATATACATATATATATATATATATATATATGTATGTAGATGGGCCGCAGGGGATGGGCAGGCAGCTTTAGGCACCTGGACCATGGCGATCCTGGTGTGTTGGGCTGACGGCTTGAGGCTTGTTTCGAGACCACGACCTACATGAGCTTGTGTTTTTGTGCGAATGCCTATAAACCTTAAACTCAACACCCAGAAACCCTAGGCCCTAGACCGACACCCGGACTTGGTGGAAGGAGTTTAACATGTCTGCCGCGGAGTTCGTCCCCGGGCAGCAGTGGGCAAAGCCTGCCGAGGCGATTTCCGGAGATGTTGGGTGACGCAGGGTGCAATAGCATGTTTCAGGTCTTCACAGAGGTTTGAAGGACCGCTGCATGACTCCTCTGACGCGCAAGGGAGCACGCAGCCATTGAGGTGTAGTAAGGCTTGGTGTGTAGTAAGATCTGGTCAGGCAGATGGCCGACCAGTCCCCCGCAGGGTAGAGCATCCACCCTGTCTGATGTGCTTTTAGTCTGCTGGCCCCACTTCCCTGCGCGCTGTGGGCATGCCCTCTTTCTCCGTGCATCGACTCAGTCTAGGGGTCGCTGGTTGCAGTGCGAGGTGTAGTTGGGCTTCGATTTAGGGGCTCAAAGTGTGCGAGGCGAAAGATTTTAGGCGTATTTCATGGTACTTCAACAGTCTTCAGCAGCCCTGTGACGTGCTTCGGCAAGCAAGAAGAGTAGCCGGGTGCCGGGTCTAGGATTAGAGTAACGTGGCCCTCCAGAAAAACATGCCGGTTGTTCCAACTTACAGTCTCTCTTTGGAGTACTTGCTGTGAGAGCTCCGCATGATTTCTGTTGTGTTTTGGATGCCGTGTTTGTCATGTGCATCTTCCCTCGGCCAGGAGCCCAGATCAAAGCTCCGTGAGGACGCAGCAGAATTCAAGCCTGGTGCGTGGCCTGAGGCAGCAATGTCGATGAAAACAAGTTTGTAAACTTGAGCTTGTTCGATTTCTTGTTGCTGTTGTTCTATTGTTTTCTAATGAAGGATCCTTGCGCTTGCAGTTCCCATGTCCTTCTCTTGGCAGGCTTATCAGCCGCCCCCACCTCCAGTGATCGTCCCTGCATCGGCGATGACGTTCCCAACCTCATACAAGCCCCAGCGGGAGCCGAAGGCCATGAAGCCCGACGCCGCAGAATTCATTCCGGGAGTCTCCGCATATGCGGGGGCCATGAAGCCCAAGAAGTCCAAGGGCAACAAGAACTCGAAGTCGAGCCCAACAGCTGCAGCCCCTACCCCCACGGCCAAGGCAGGTCCCGTCACACCCGGACTCCTCTCTGGCAGTGGTCCCGGCTCGCCCGTCACCCGAGATGCCGATGTGGCGGCGGGAGGCGCGAGCTCCAGCTCCCAGCCGCAGCCGCAGGCCACGGAGGACGGAGTTATTGAAAAGGGACAAAGAGAGCCGCGTCCCCTCTGTTTGGAGTTCCCCTGACATCCCATCCACTGCCCAGGCGAGCCCCACAAAGGCTGCGAAGGGGCTCAGCGAGCTGTGCCGCGAAAAGCTCGGCGGCGGGGCAGCTCTGCAACCTGCAGCTGTTGGCAACCCGGCCCGGAGTGTGCGTGCTGCATGTCTTTTTGCTATATAATCCTTTTCAGAGTTTTTTTGGGTGCGAGGCAAACTTGGGAAGAAAACCGGAGTGTGGGAGTTCGAGAAAGCTTTGAGCGACTCCGAGTGTGCGGCAGTGCTTTCGGCTGCCGAGCAGCTGGGCTTCAACCTGGCAGAGCAGGATCGAGCAGGAGGCCATTGCAAGCTTGTCAGGGAGGACCCCTGGCTGGCCGACCATCTGTGGCAGCGTGTCTCTGCAGCCGCACCTTCCCCCTTTTGCGGGAAGAGGGTCGCAGGAATATCTCCGACGCTCCGTGTGCAGCATGGTTCCTTGGCAGAGGTCCAGTCGGAGAGCCTGGCCTTTTACTTGTGCCTGAAGAGTGCGAGCGGGGAGAAACTGCGGCCTGGGGACCTCTTCATCCGTGCGCCGGGTCAGAACCTGCCGGGAGACACTCCCTGTGCTTCGTGGCTTTGTGCCGATCTTCGGCTCGAGAGCTCATGGTGGGCATCAGCTTCCCAGCGCTTTGGCTTGGGGGCTTTCAATGAACGCCGCAGCGTGGTCTTACTACTGGTCACCACGGCAGCGGCCACTATGCTGGTGACTCAACTGAGGCGTCGCAGTCTGAGAAACTGACTAATTACAAATCTCGCGAACTTGCACAGATATTTTAAGTTTTGGCATTGTGACAATGCCCGCCTTTGCTGCATCGTACACGTCAGCGTGTCATTGAAGAAAGCTTTCATGGGCACGGTTGGGTCAGAAGATCCACTGACTGAACTTTAACCTACCTGCTTTCCAGCTGCTGTGCAACAGCCTACGACAGATAATTGCGACTCCTTCTTGCGTGCACAGCGAGGAGCACCCCGCATAAAAGCAGGGCATCGAGGAAGCGTGAATGTGCTACATGGGTAGTTCTCCAAATTCGGATCCCTTTTAGGGGCCTTTTTAAAGGGTGCCGTACTATATTGGGGACCCAAACGGGACCCTAATTTGGAGAACTATCCACTCACATGTCTGTACGTGTTTTCACACGTTGTGCCAAGACAGACTTGCAGTGGCGAAGCAACGGAGAGTAATGCTCCCGCGATTCGGAGCTCTAAAGTCGAGTGGGAGTAGCCAAAGGGAAGGTATGATTATCCGCTTAGCAGCTATACTGCATGCACTGAGTACTAGGCGGTAGTGATAGGCATTGTCGATCTGTGGCAACAGCCGCTGCTTGACGGCCTGAGGCCCAAGCTCCGCCAAGTGTGTCCGCGCCGCCCGCCGAGGCCCAGATGGGTTTGTTCCGGCAGGTCTTGTGAGGGCCTCTGTCAGCAACAATTGGATAGCTGTCCTTCGCAGTGGTGGTGGTAGTAGTAGTAGGAGGAGGCGGCGGAGGAGGAGTAGTAGCAGTGGTAGTAGTCGCAGCAGAAGTAGGAGGAGGAGCCGCTGCTGCAGTAGGACAAGCAGGAGCAGCTATGGGAGAGGAAGTTCTCTAGCTCCGCCAAAAGCCTCTGCGCTCGCGCAAGCAGGCAGAGGGTGAGGGCACAGTGACCTGCCCGGACCCGACTTGAGATGCGGCTTGCTGACTGCTTGCAGTTCTTTCTTTCTTTCTTGACAGTTATGCAGTGGAACTCGTTCGGATCAAAAGCTAATGTCTCTGTCAGAAGGGGCCCGGCGCGCGCCTACAGATTCCGCTCGTCACCCAAGGCGCGAACCGGGGCTTGCTCCAGCAGATGCTGTCCGGCGTGCTCCAGGCTCCGAGATGGGGCATTACTAGTAGCATAATCATTATCACTAACAAGGATAACCATTCTAAGAATGATAATCAAAGACTCAAAGACTATAGGTCATACTGGATAATGAATATCGTACAGTTAGTACAGTAGAACAATGACAACTACGATGACAATGCTCTTGTTGAAAATAATGCTACTGCTGTTGCTCTTGCTTTTGTTGTTGCTGCTGCTGCTGCTGCTGCTGCTGCTGCTGTTGTTGTTGTTGTTGTTGTTGTCGTTGTCGTTGTCGTTGTCGTTGTCGTTGTTGTTGTTGTTGTTGTTGCTGGTGCTGTCTGTCGTTGCTTGCACACCCATTTCCACTGCTATCGGGACTTCGCAGCTTTGAGTTCGGGGTCCCCGGGTTGAGTTCTTGCGGACGTCGAGACTCGAAGTTTGAGAGCTGTTTGGGAGTCTGAACCGAGGGTTTTTCGGGGTTTTGTGGTTGAAGGGTTGAGGGTCTGGGGATTAATCATCGGCATTCTCTGTAGGTCGTTGGAGTCAGCCTTCGAGAACTGCAGAGAGTTGTGTTGTCGTCAATGGTTTAGGGTGTACGGGGTCATGATGGCCATTGCTTCGCGCGAAATGGACGATCTGAAGGGATAGTCAAACGATGGAGGCGAGGCCTCCACCCCAAAAAATGCAGTTTTTTCAATTGTTGTACGGCAATTTTACGGCTGTTTACTTTCTTTTCTTGCTGAGCGCCCAGCACATGTTTTTAACGACTCAGCGGTCGTTATCCGTTTCGACGCCACGTGAACTCCTCCCTGCCTGAGACGTCACGTCGCAGTTGGAGGTTTTCGAGCCGAACTTCAGATGCCGAAGAACTGCGATACATCTCGAGCCCGAAGTCGGGTTTTGCTTAAAGTCGGTTTTTTTGGATGGGAAGGGCGCTTCAGGGAGCATGTCTCCCGAAGGTGCCGTGTTGGCGACACTTTTGCCAAGGCGCTGCCCAGTTTTCTCGCCACTTCCTCTCCATCCACAAAAGCTCACCAACCGATTTGAAACTAGATCCTCACACTTCTCCCCCTAAACAGGAGAAATCCCGAAAAGCCAAGCATGCACAGGGATCAAGATTCCCAAATACTTCAGCCAACCAAATCCAGCACGTTCGCATCGTGGGAAGGAGCCTTCCGACGGCGAGCAAGCCGAAGACCTCTCCGGGGGTGGGTTCAAGGGTGCAGTGTTGACTGATGTTCCGTGTTCAGGCTTTATGAGGTGGTCTGGCTAGACTTGAGCCCAGTTGCGAAGAAGGCTTTATGAGGTTTTGAGGGCGGCGGCGCGGCCTTTGATTCCCAGGCGCTCAACGCCAAAGCTTTGAACTCCAGGGTTGACCTGCTCAAGGTTTCAGAGGTTTAGGGTTTCAGAGAGTTCTGATGCATGGGCTTTCAGGCATATGTCTAAGCTGTAGGTGGATGCTGCGAAACTTTATGGGTGCATAGTAGCTCTAGTTAGAGAGACGAGGAGTGGCAATGGCAGCGATACTACTTACCGTTCAGAACCTAAGCTTCAGCTCTGTTCTTGAAGGTTAAATGTACACCAAGACCGACCAAAAAGAAACTAAAGCCCTAAGCCGAGAGTGCAAACCTACGAAATTCTAAGCCCTAAACTCCCATAAAATCCTCAAACCTGCTCCTAAACACCTCAGTTGAGGGATTTATGGGGTTTGGGGCATGTGCCGTTCATCGCCGCACCGGAGAGGCTCGTGGCAGGGTCTGAGGTCCAAGGAAGTGTGGGGGCAAAGATTCCCCGCAGAAGGGTTTAGGGTTTTGGGTTTAGGGTTTAGGGTTTACTAATTTCCGGGGTGCGATAACGGTTGCTATAGTGATTGCTCTCAGGCTGACTATAAGGGTTACTCTCAGGGTTAAGTCAAGTATTAAGGCTAAGAGTTACGATAGGGCTGGCTAAACAGGTTACAACTATAAAAGGTTTACCGCGGGATGACTGTAATGTAGGGGCATCAATAATTACCTATACTATCTTGGGGATTCCTCATTATAGCTATAGTATAATATGCCCCAAAACCTTCTATAATATAATACACCCCAAAGCCCTATTCTAATTAAGGCCCCTAGGCTTCGGGGTTAAAAGGGGCCTCGAGCTCCTCCTTGGAATGCTGGGCCCAACTCAGCAGACGAATCGACCCAGACGGATCGCGGCAGTCCTGCTGGCGACAGCCACGGCCCCTTGCCCGATGATCCCTTGGGATGGTTGTTGGCAGTTGGCGCCTTAAGCCCTACCACCCTAGAAGCTTTCTGGCGCAAGAAGGAAGATAGATAGAGGTTGAGGGTCATGTGGAAGCATCTTGTGGCAAAGTTCAGCTTGAAAGCAAGAAACAGATGAGGTTTCGCTCTTTGCCTATTTCCTTGCCACGACATCGAGCCAATCCATTCGACAGAAGATTCGGCTGGGACTTAGTTTTACAGCGCGACAAGCTCTTCCCGCTGCGACAAGCGAGGCAGCATGGATATCATCCAGCCGCGAAAACACCAACAGCAATGGTAGCAAGTATGTTTTGCGCCAAGATTCCACAACACCAATGAAGGTCCGCTCAGAGAGTGTGTCGAGCCTCGGCGCAAGGACTAGTCTGCAGTTAGCAGCATCAAGTGCCTCCAGCACCCTTTCAACCAGTCTCCCGTCCGCTTGGCCGGAGGTCCCTAGCTCCACGACACACGCAGCGCACACAGCGCAAGCTGCCCAGGGCTCCCCGAAAAGTGAGCCGAGCCTCGGAGAAGAACAGGCGCAGCTGGGCCCACAGTGGCGGCCCCTGGCAGCTTCAGATCGATATCGCTTCACCCCGCAGACCCTGCCGCCTTTCCGAAAGTGTGAACAGGAAGAGCGAGGAATGAAGCGCTGGAAACAAAAGCTGGACCAACGTGGCCTGAAGATTTGCAGCGGCGGTGTTTCAAGCATTATATGTGCACGTGAACTGGCATCGCCCAGGATCTATGTGTGCCAGTTCAGCAACGTCTTGGAAGTGCTTGCTGGAGATGGCACCTTGCGCTGGATTGCCCAATGCGCTTTGCATAAAGATGTTGATCTAAATTCCTTGTTCCAGCCTCTGCATCGCAGCCATTTCCTGCATTTCCTCGATGTTCGAAAAGACCTCGGGCCGAAGCAGCTCAGCAAAACCATCACAGTCCTGCAGAGTATCCCTGCCAATGTCGACTTTGCTGATCATGTACTGGCATCTTTGAAGTTGCATGCCCAGAAGCAAGCACCGGCTCGCGAAGGGGTGACCTTCCTCTCTTCCGGCGACTGCAACACGGGCAACCCGGGCCATTGCCAGGCCGATCAGGACAACTTGTTCATCGTGCAGCACATTTTGCCGAAGACGTTTAGCAGAGAGGAGACCCGAGTGGTCCTTTACAATGGCTTTGGCAGATCGAGATATTCGGCTCAG